ATCAACAGCCGACTCACCTGGATCTCCAAACCCTTGGTCATTTCCAGGTAGCACTCACGATACCAGAGTTGGCTTAAATCGCTGCAGGCGTTCAAACAATCTTTCGCGGTAATAATAATTAACAATTTAGTGACAATAAAAAAAAAACAAATTCTTGCGTAACAAAATGAGCCAAAATTTTCACTTTTGCTTACATCACTTCAGCAATTTTTCACTCACTCACTCACTCACTCACTCACTCACTCACCCACTCACTCACTCATTCACTCACTAACTCACTCACTCACTCACTCACTCACTCACTCACTCACTCACTCACCCACTCACTCACCCACTCACTCACTCATTCACTCACTAACTCACTCACTCACTCACTCACTAACTCACTCACTCACTCACTAACTCACTCACTAACTCACTCACCTCACTCTTTCATTCACTCTCTCTTCCTTTCTCTCTCAGTCTTCCAGTTTTTTATCACAACGTTCATAGCGAACGATCTATGGCTATTGGCCAGAATGCATAAATACACAGAGAGAGAGAGAGAGAGAGAGAGAGAGAGGGAGAGAGAGAGAGAGAGAGACAAATAGACCGAGAGGCAGACAAACAAACATACATACATACAAAAACGCAAACACAAACATACTTTGTAGCTGCATAACGTATTTCCACATGTGACTGTTAATGAGAAACTCCCTGATGCATTTTACATGCTGGCTGTCCAGGTCTTTGCATGGATGTTTGCTACTGGCCACCTTGCTGTCGTTGTTAATCAGATAGTCGAGCATGGAACGCGCGAGGTAGAGCTGCAGAAGGTTTGAGAAACATTTTGAAAATAAAAGTTATGATTAATTAATTAATTAGTTGATTAATTGGTCTTTCGTTAATTTAATCGGTCAGTTGGTTAGTAACTCATTCATTAATCTATTCATCCATTGATTCATTCATCCGTTTATTCATCTACCAATTCATCCATCCATCAATCAATCAACCAATCACCTGGGTGTTGGAGGGTGGAGCTTGTTTGCCCTTAACGACGACCGCTTCCGATTTTTTGGACTTCTTGTCTGAAACTTCAGACTTGTGGAGGCATGAAGTGTCAGCGCACGTGTTTTGTATGGCTGTAAGTAAGCTGTTGATGGTGAGGATGGATAAGAATCAATCAATCAATCAATCAATCAATCAATCAATCAATCAATCAATCAATCAATCAATCAATCAATCAATCAATCAATCAATCAATCAATCAATCAATCAATCAATCAATCAATCAATCAATCAATCAATCAATCAATCAATCAATCAATCAATCAATCAATCAATCAATCAATCAATCAATCAATCAATCAATCAATCAATCAATCAATCAATCAACCAATCAATCAATCAATCAATCAACCAATCAATCAATCAACCAACCAACCAATCAATCAATCAATCAATCAACCAATCAATCAACCAATCAATCAATCGATCGATCGATCAACCAATCAATCAACCAATCAATCAATCGATCCATCCATTCATCCATCAATCAATTGATCAATCGATTGATCAATCAATTAATTAACCAGCCAGCTAGCCAACCAATCAATCGGCAACAAAACAACAACCGCAACCTTAACAAAACATCCTTATGATGTTTCGCTGCCTTCCTCAGTGGTTCACTCATATCAATGTTAACGAATTGCTGCAGTTGTTTGAATATGTAGACGTTGATGAAAGAGGATATCGTTATGAGGTTTTTATGGAAGAGGTTGTACAACCCTTTTATGTAGCCTATTAACTCTACTAAGGCTGTCTTCTCTTCTGAACTATAGTTGTACTTTGTGACCTGTGTTTGATTGATTGGTTGGCTGGTTGGTTGGTTGGTTGATTGGTTGGGTGGTTGATTGGTTGGTTGGTTTGTTGGTAGGTATTTTGTGACCTATGATTGATTGGCTGGCTGGTTGGTTAAGGGGTTAAATGGTTAGCTAGTTAATTGACACTATTTGATGCGTTAATCAATCAATCTTGCGTAACTCTCCTATGTAAATTAGTCAAAACAAATAACCAATCAACCAACCAACCAATCAACCAACCAATCAGTCAACTATGCACTCAACAAACCAACCCTCTCATATTCGGTGGCGTCAGTCGGAGCTCCCACAGCTCCAGGACGCTCAGATTTCAAATCCGCCGGATGAGTTAATTTCCAAGAAACCTGGATGAATGAATGAATCGGTGGATAGATGAAAGGATAAATTGACTGATGTATAGATTGATCGATTGATTGCTTGATAGATGGATGGATGGATGGTTAAATAGACGAATGTACAGACAAAAGGATGGATGAATAAATGGGATTGATAGATTGATGAATCCAAGCGCAGGCGAGCAGCGAATAAATAAATAAACAGATGAATAATTTCACAGATTGACAGATACAGTTAGCATTACAGCAACTTCAGCTAAAACAACAACATCAATATCATTAACATCATCAACAACAACATCAAAAACAACAACATTAACATCATCAACAACAAAAACATTAACAACAACGCCAAACACACAAGCAAACCAATTCAACGACCGCAGAGGTCCAACCAGACAAAGTTTGCAGACATAACAGTGCAATGTTATATGCCGCTGTCATCTGCTCTGTTGTTGGAATGGAAATGTTGTTGTTGTTGTTGATGTTGTTGTTGTTGTTGATGTTTTTCTTGAAAGCTGAGTCAACCATTGTAACGTCTAGAACTTTCTACGAGTTGTATAATTTCAAAAAAATATTATTGATTCACAATATTGAATACGTGTCATGTGCAACGGATGAAGACAGTCAACCAACCAATCAAATCGACCAATCAACCAACCAATCAGCAAACCTTATTTTGAACAACTTTCATAGCCTCAGTAAACTCCATAACAACATTACTATGCTGCTGTCTAAAAATAGAAATTACGTTGACCAATGAGCTTTGAGGGCTCGGATCAGCTGACGAACACTTCGGCCAATAGGAAGCCTCGTAATTTGCCGCCTTTTGAATATAATTAAATGAACGGAACGTCATGTCCCCATATAATGGAATCACCTGATGGTAATAATAATAATAACAATAATAATTATCATTGTTATTAATGCTGTTGTTGTTGTTGTTATTATGATTATTATTACTATTACATACATCAACTTCTTTTAGAATGTTGTCAATCTTTGAAATGTTGAGTTTCTTTGTTTTGTTGATGTTGAATTTCGGACCGTCCATTAAATACAAAAGGAAACCTATCACCTTGTGATGCCATGTTGTGTTGTTGTGGTTGTTTTTGTTGCTGTTGTTGTTGTGACTGTTCGTTCGTTTGTTCGTTTGTTTGTTTGTTCGTTCGTTTGTTTGCTTGCTGCTTGTTTGTATGTTTGTAGTTGTGTTTAGTTGCTGTTATTGTTCTTGTGAAGCGTTATATAAATGTTATTGTGTTTTCTTTAATAATAATTATCTTAAACACAGTTCGACATGGAGATGGTCTAGCAACACAAACAAAATCAACAACCAAGTCGAAAAGAACAACAACGAAACAATATCGAAAAACAAAATTGAAACCAACGAAAACGATACGGTAAAACAAAACAAAAACGCTGTCTGACGCCATCATAAACAACCGCGAGACATCGATGACGTCATATTTACCGACCTTAACGAGGTCATATTTCTCTTCCGGTAGCAGGAAACACTTCTGTTCGTACTTAATGACGCACGTCACAACCACGTGACACAGAAAATCTTCATGGTTCGTGACACCTGGAAATACCCGGCATTTTATTAATAGTATCTCAGTTCTGTTAATAGCTACCACATGAATATAAATGAGGCTATTAAATATTCATTAGACCTGATCGACACAACTCCCATTATCATCAATTTCATCATCGTCACCATCATCATCATCATCGTCACCAACATCGTCATAATCATCGCCATGATCATCACCATCATCACTACCATCTTCTTCTTCATCATCATCACCATCATATCATTATCATCATCGTCACCACATCGTCATCATCATCACCATCATATCATCATCGCCATCACATCGTCATCGTCACCATCACATGACGACCAACCTAGCAGCAGCTTTTTGAGTTCGGTGAGGATGCTGTTGTGCGTGCCTAGAAAGATGGAGAGATCACTCATCTTGCTGATGTGCTCTTGCTGGGCGTTCGTCTTACGAAGGTTCCTTATTTGTTCGTCAGTGTGTGTGTGTGTGTGTGTGTGTCTGTGTGTACGTGTCTGTTTGTGTGTTTGCCGTGTTTGTGTGTGTCTGTATGTGTGTCTGTTTTTCTGTGGTGTGTGTTTGTCTGTGGTGTGTGTGTGTGTGGCCGACATTGAGATGAAAAATGGAAATAAAAAGCCAAGAACCATTAGAGTAGCGTGAGTATGATTTAATTTAATGAAATTCAGTCCGGATGGCGAAATAATCTCAGTGGATACAAAAGAAAACCTTTTATAATGGGCGAAATCATTCTTGATGCTGGCTTTAATGTTCTTCAGCTCGTCCAACGTAGCTATCGAGCTGATGAACTGGCAGAAGAGGGAGATGTAAGTCTTTGAGATGAACTCCGTACTAGCCGCCGAACCAAAACGTGATATCTCACTTCGCAAGCTTTCAACAGCTATCTTCTTCAATTACGTATTCATTACGTACAGATATATTTAACATATATGTGTATTAGATTGAGTGGCGAGGTAGCTTAGACGACGGTAAGAAAGCTATCATCTCTCGCGCTGTAATCGTGCTCTGACCTTGTTCGAATGCACGGATCGTTGTAAGATTCGTGTGGACGCTATGAGCTTTCGCAAGCATTTGTCACAACCGGGTAATAAAGAATAAATTAATAATATGTGAAAAAAATTTTGTCAAATTATTATAAATTTAACTGTATTTTATTTTATTTTTCTCAAAAAATTCAGTTAAATGGCAAAAAGGTTTGATGGATAATATAAAGTAGGCAGACGAGACCAACTTGGAAGTGATAAAAATCGATGAGTTTCTTAACTTCCTTCTCAAGGACTTCCATCACTGCTGGACACCCCTCAGGCGGAAGATTCTATTTTAGGGTGTCATTCATTTGGAGTGTTTGTTGGTTGAGCGATTCGCCATTTGGTGGTAACGTGGATTGGATAGTGAATGAATGGATAAATGAATGAGTGATAAGATAAATGAACGAATGGATGAAAAAGTGACAAAATTAACGGTTGAGTAATCAATTTAAGTATGATTGAATGATTGGAGATATAACTTACGGATGTAGGGATGAAAAGTTAGATAAACTATTAGAAAAATGGATAAAAAAGTGATTGAATAAATACGCGAGCAGATGAAGTAATATAAAAATGCTGAACTATACAAAGCAAACATCTAAAACACGTTAGTATTTCATGTTGTATTTTGTGCTGTGATACCTTAGGTATCGGGATGGTACAGCTTCGCCATGTATAAAGTATGCCACAAAACTTTTTTGACGTCTCAATCAACTCCATCTAAGAATTTGTTATTGTTTCATTATTATTAAAATTCATACATTTTTTCAATCATTCATTCATATATTTAATCAATCAATCAATCAATCAATCAATCAATCAATCAATCAATCAATCAATCAATCAATCAATCAATCATTCATTCATTCATTAATTCACTTATTTATTTATTACAATTCTTTTTATAATTTCGCCCAGACATCAACAGCAAGCACACAGTGTACAGCGTCAGATATCTTAATTGCTACAACATCGCAATTCTCCACCACAGTACCGACAACAAATAAATTATACATTTCTCCATAATTTTTTATTATTCATAATTAAAATTAATAATTTTTTTTATAAATATTATTATAGAGATATTATTATATAGTTATTGTTGTAGTGATCGTGCAGACGTGATTTGCAAACTGACAAGATGAGCGATTTCATTAGCCTCCTGCTGATACTTGTCAAATGCGTGAACGTAGACGGATCTGTCGGAGAAATCCTTATCCGTGTGGCACGTGTGGCAGATGCCACCGCCTCGGCTGTTGCAAAGATCATTATTTTGCTGTCGCTGCAATTGTGGCTGCTGTTGGTTTTGTTGTTTTTCGGGAATTAAGTTCGGTAGTGAGTTGATGGTTGTTAGTAGTTCAGGAAGATTTGTTACCGACATTGTTGTTGTTGTTGTTGTTGCTGCTGCTGCTGCTGGTGGTTTGTTGAGGTGTTGTTGTTGTTGTTTGTGGTAGTTTGTTGTAGTGTGGTTGTTTTTAATGGTGGTTGGTTTGTGGTGTTGTTTTGGTAGTATAGTCTTGCTAATTTGCTTGTTGTTTGAGATGATTTAGTTGTTGTTATAGTTTAATGTTGTTGTTGTTGATGATGATGATGGTATCATTTAAATTGCATAAGCCGTTGTTTAAATTTAAACTGCTGTTTAAGCTGTTATTGTTTAAACATTTGTTTACGATGTTTTGGCAAAAATTTTGTTATCTTTTAGTTGGAATGCTTTGTTGATTTTTTGGATGTAGCCATTTGTTGCTGTTTGTTAATTTTTTGCAGTTGTCGCTGGTGTGGTTACTGCGATTGCTTGTGTAGTTGGTCTTTGGTTACTACTTAGTCGCTGGTGCGGTTGTTGCGGCTGCTTTTTAGTCGTTTTTATAATGGAAATTTTTCGTAGGAATGATGGAAATGGAAAAAAATTGACGATGTCAGTTTTTTTTAATGTATTTAGATCTATAGGAAGTTGTTGGTATATTGGTGGCTAAAAATATTTAATCAATAATGATTGTTGTTAAAAATGATGCTGATGTCAAATGAAATTTGTCAAACAATCAAATCTAATACAATTAACAGTTTAATTCAGAATAAAAATATCTAATTAACCTCATCCAAAAATTGGGAAAAAATTCCTCAGTAAATTAAAATAAAACATTTGCACTTAACAAAAAATTTTTGTATAAAAAAACATCTTAAATAGATAAAACTTTATTAATTAAAATTTTTTTTAAATAATGATGAAAAAGACTTTAACAGTTTAACTCATGATTGTTTTATTTAAATGTTTATTTAACTTTAATAATTAAAATTAAATGAAAAAAATGTTAAAATACCTTGTCTTTAGTTTTAGTTTAGTAGATTAATTTTGAATAATGACTTCTAACTTTGTTCGTTATTTATTGTTCATTGCTATGTTATGGATTAAACCATTAAACAAGAGCTAACAAAAAAAATAACAAATTGGTAAATAAATATAAGATTGTTGTGACAGAAAATATTTGATAATTTATAAGTGTATAATATATAATATTTTTGATGTGTTCACTAAACTGAAATGTTATGAAACAAGCAAATATGCATTGCGGTATGTATGTATAAAAATTGTATATTATAACGAAAAACAAGCAGTAAACAAATACCAACTAAAAAATTATAACTTGTATATGTATAGTATCAAACTATTTTATTTCACTATATTACTAAAAACTAAATGTTTATAATAAATTCATTTTACCTTTTTCATAATTATTATAGATAAAAATAAAAATAAACTAATTAGTAAATTACTACAAACAAGCAGTACTAGCCATCAATTTGAATCAGCAAATATTATGTTATAATTTAAAGTTTAAAATTAGTCAGTAAGTACAGAGAGTATGGTGAGTGCGTGCATGCGTGTGTATGCAAGAAACAATACATACACATTATATTACAATTATAATACATATATATACAATATACATACAATACGAATACAGATACTCAGAGAGAAAAAGGAACCCGGAACTTAATTATCAAAATATTTGTCAAAAAGTTTTTTGCAAACGCAATTGAAATTCACATGAGTTACATAAAATCACTAAAAGTGGCACAAATTTATAATTTAGAAATGAGCTTTTTAATGCAAAACGAGTAAAATTGATATTTAAATGTCTCGTTTTGAATAACTTTGAAAAGTTAACTTAAGTAGTAGCAAGAACTACAAAAGTGGATCTAAGTATTAAAAATAAAATATATAGTCAATATATATATATATATATATATATATATATATATATATATATATATATATATATATAAAGGAACCAGATGCATAATATTTAATAAAGTTTAATGAAAGTATAGATATTTTTAGCCTTGTGAAAACACATTTTATGACTTTTTTTCGTTTGTTTTAACTTTTCATCTGACAAAAACGCCATTTCATACTAAAATAACAATTAAATTACTTTTACAAAGTACGTAATCAACACGTACATAAACACACACAATAACACATTCATACATCACACAAACGCACACACACACACATTCATGCATCATACACAAACCACACATACACGCAATAACACATGTTTATTATCATTAAATGTATATACAAAGAGATAAACACATTGTATATGCTTTTATTATATATATAAATATGTATATATTTGTATTTTATACATATATATACAATGTGTATGTGAGCAGGGAACTGTTTGTGCACAACTACAAATGTTTGTTCGTATAGTATGTAGCATCTTAGAGAAGAAGAAGAAGATGAAGAAGAAGAAAAAGAAGAAAGTAGTTAACAAAGTCAGCACACAGCTCAGCTATACACATTACACATATTTCTATACATACATACATTCATGCGTACACACACACACACACACACACACACACACACACACACACACACACACACACATACACACACACACACATACATACATACATGCATTCATACATACATACATACATACATGTATATATATATATATATATATATATATATATAGAGAGAGAGAGAGAGAGAGAGAGAGAAAGAGAGAGAGAGAGACAGACGGACGGACATACAAACAGTAAGACGAAAGCATCTAATGTAAGCTGATGTGAACGGAGGCATTCAATATGTTTGTAAGGATTCTGTCTTAGAATGTTTCGGAAAATATGTTTAAATGTTTGTTTAAGTATGCCTGTTAGTATGTGTGGGTGTATATTTGTATTTGTATGCGAGTTTTATTATCTTGGTATGTTATTTATTTAATTTATCGTGAAGGCGCAATCGTTTGTTTCCTTCTAACTCATCACAACTTTTCATTTTTGTTTAACAGTACTTTAACCCACCTTGTACATAGGTGGTTAGATGTTTGATTGTATGCACACACACACGCACACCACACACACCACACACACACACACGCACGCATACGAAATATATTTTCAATTATATGTCTAATGTTTGTTTATATGTGTACGTATTTATATATTTAAATGCGTATTGAAATGTTAACGAAAATGTTGAAAGTTAGTTAGAAATCTTGACTTGGGCATGACAGAAAATATGTCGCGCCTATTTTAATCCTGTTGATTTATTTTTTTTAAATTAAGCGTCACTCTGGAATGAAATTGGAACAATATTGCTGAAAATAGTTTAAGAATGATAAATAATGACAACTTTTTTCTATAAATTTGCAGCGGAACTTAATTCTGAATTAGATGTTTAATAAATAAGACATTGCAAACTGCAATGAATGATTAGCATCATTTATCTTTAATAACTACAACTATAGCAAACCACGCTAACATTCGGACAGACCGATGCTAGCATTCAGACCGACATCCCATATGTAGACTCGGGTAGTAGTGCGAAGAGGTAGGCGCAGACACAGTACCAGGGTTTTGGCAGCACAGCCTAGTGCAACGTTCAAATGTCACGCTTGTGGTTAGTCATAAAAATTTTCAGAAATATGCTGGATACAAAAAAGTTATAGACTCACAATTTGGGTACCTGATTGAACAGCTGATTCAATTCAAACAAATTATCAACGTTCATATACTTTGAATTAAATTGTATGCTTATAATTAAACTTTCGTGCCTGCCACAAAGGCTGTACACTATCTACACTATACCACACCCCACAACGCGCATACACATTACGTTACACACGCGTTTGATGGTCTTTGAGTTGTGGTCGGACAGTATTCGAACCAGGCCATCACATAATAGCTGCGCTAGACATGGCACTTCTACCGACTGAGCTAACTTGGTTTCTTTATCTTTTTGCGTGTGTATGTGTGTGTGTGCTTGTAAGTGTATGTAAAAATATGTATTTGTAGATTGAACCATGTGTGCATATGTACACATCTATGTTGTTTGTATAGCAAGCATGGTTCACTTGAATAATATAATAACTTTTGTTAAGTAGCTTTTCATGTGTGTGTGTGTGTGTGTGTGTGTTTCAGTCCAACAAAACAAACGAAGAATAAGATGGATGGTGTGGTGGATGGATGGTTGGATGGATGGATGGATGGATGGATGGATGGATGGATGGATGGATGGATGGATGGATGGATGGATGGATGGATGGATGGATGGATGGATGGATGGATGGATGGATGGATGGATGGATGGATGGATGGATGGATGGATGGATGGATGGAAGAATGGATAAATGGGAGATTACGTGAGAAGGAAAAAATTATATAAAAAATATTATTAATAAATAGAAAATGAATAAAAATAATAATAATAATAATAGTATGTCTTGATGATATAACTCTTGAAAAGCTTTTCATGTTAGATAAATAAAAAACCATTGAACAAGTTAACCTACCACTGATCTATTAAAAATGACTGTATGATATAATTTGATATACTTATGGTATGATATATTTAGGATATGATACACACACAAACACACACACACACAAACACATATATTCATAGCAAGTATAAAAACAAAAGTTTTATACATAGGCATTTGATCGACTCATCTGACTTAGTTTATTTTTTTTTTAAATCTGCGAAGTTAAATAAAATATTGATTCCATTGATAAAGCCAATTCATACCGTTGAAAATAGATTAAAAAAATCATTATTAATAAGAATGTTTTAAAGATTTAATTATTTTCAATTCAATGGAAAGCTGAGAAAACACTGACAAAAATAACCCACGCACATTCTTCCTATTAATAATCTCACATCTACCATTCCATTCAATTGCATGTATGATTGTTTGGATGTATTCATGTATGTATGTATGCATGTATGTATGTATGTATGTATGCATGCATGTATGTATGTATGTATGTATGTATGTATGTATGTATGCATGCATGCATGCATGCATGCATGCATGTATGTATGTATGTATGTATGTATGTATGTATGTATGTATGTATGTATGTATGTATGTATGTATGTATGTATGTATGTATGTATGTATGTATGTATGTATGCATGCATGCATGCATGCATGCATGCATGCATGCATGCATGCATGTATGTATGTATGTATGTATGTATGTATGTATGTATGTATGTATGTATGTATGTATGTATGTATGTATGTATGTATGTATGTACGTATTTATGCATGCATGTATGTATGTATGTATGTACGTATTTATGCATGCATGTATGTATGTATGTATGTATATATTTATGCATGCATGTATGTGTGTGAGTATTATGGATGTGTATGTATGAATCATAGAAAAACATCGCGTACAATTCAATATACACCGAAACATCTATTCACATCCATAACATTTCGCACACATACGTACATATATTAATGAAAATTTTCTCATATAAAAGCACGCATATGTTTTGCAAAATTCTGTTTATAATACTTTACTTTATATATAAACTTCATATTAATATATAAAAGTGAATGTATGTATATATATATATATATATATATATATATATATATATTTTACAGGTATATATACATACTAATTTTTTGTATCTATAGTATATATACATACCATTTTATACATTTATATATATATATATATATATATACACAACACATATACATACATACAAAACAACCTAAACGACGTACAAACATAGTATACATACAAACAGGTCTGTTGTTTGTGATGATGCCAAACTATTTGAGCCAATTGATGTAGTTATATTTTTGTTCTTCTATTTTGTACGAGAATGTTGGTGTATTGATTTTTGAAAAAATTGGCTGAAACCGATAAACTGATTTTTTTTAGTATCTTTAAGGCTGATTTTGGTTTAAAAAAATTTGTAAGAATAAAAAATAGTAGCTCGTTTTGAAACAAATTATTTCAGAGCATCCGTTAATGTCGATAATATTAATCATTAATGTTAATATTAAAAAACGGTTGCCACTGGTGCTATAACTGTTTTATCACATCTATTACTACTACACCATTTTTGAAAGGACCGTTAATATAGAAATAATTTTAACATTTAACTGACTAGCCCTAAACTAAAGAGAGGGAGAGACAGAGAAATTGACCAAATCAAAGAACGACAACACATCGAGAACCGTCAAAATATTGACCATAAAGAATAATATGAAAATGTCGAAACATCCACTGACCATCTACAACATCCTTAGTTCAGTTTTTTTCATCACCTTAACCTTCACTTATGCCATTTCTAAAGATACTGTAACACCAAAAGGAGAAAACCCAAACCCAGATGACAAACCTTCCCAAAAAGACGAAGATGGAGGGAAGTCAGTGTGGGCTAGCCATTGGGCCCTTTTTATGGGAGTTTTGATTTTCATCGCCGTCTCCATGGTGCTGGCTATGGTTTTGTGCATTTGTCTGAAGGTCTGTCGCAAGAAGAAGGGAGGCTTTCCTCAGGTTTGTGGCAAAGTTTTATCACAAAAAATGTTTCACAATTGATTATTTTGTCTGTCTGTTTTTTTTTTATACAAAGAGCGTTTCGTTTTCGCAACTTGATATGTCCAAAATATAAATGGTCTCAAATTTTTATCAAATAGGTATTTTTCAAAATGAAATCGAATGTTGGTTTGGAAATTAAAAATTAAACGTCATTAATGTTGGTTTGGAAATTAAAAATTAAACGTCATTAATGTGACACACGATTTCAAATCACTTACGGAAAATTAAAAGTTGCCAATGAAAAAAGCACAAAAAAATCGACACTTATTTAGTTTTTGTGTATAAATGTTTTAAAGGCAATAAGAGCATTTTTTTAGAAATTAAACTGACACTGGATAAAATAGAAATGACGCGTTCAAATATTTCCACTTGCTACAAAATTGTTTTACATTAGCGAAACATATTACTCTACTCTATATATTTTATTCAGCATAAATTACTCGCTTGACGGCTTATCCGTCTCCCATTTTGATTAAAATAACGTTGGAAAAATGACCAAATAAATAAATAAATGAGTAAATAAAAATAAATTTTAAAAATCATTTAAACATCTACCATCTCCAAATACGCTCACTATATCAGCCTGAAACAATAGTGACGGAGGAACCGGCCAGACTGACGTCATACGGGCAGGTTCAGCAGCAGGCGATGTCCGAGAATTCGAACGGATTGGGAGGTCCACTTCCAGTCGACGAGGAAAGTGGATGGATCATTCCACTAGACCAGATGACGTCGGAGGAACTCGACCAAACAGAGGCAGCACTTTCGAAAGTGTGAACGCTTTTTTGAAAAATTAATTTAATTTAATATTATTATTATATTTATATTATTATATTTATTATATATATATATTTTTATTTGAAGATGGAACCCAGTTCCAATAAAGCTTTTTTTATTTGATAATAGAACTATATTTTTTCCCCATAAAAATTACTCATCATATATCACATCACATACGCACGCACTCACACACACGCATACATGGAATAAATCGTCGCGTTCGACGAATTGTGTCATTGATGAGTCCTTTGATGCGAGAACAAGCCTATTCTTGATGAACATCGACGACCACAGGTTCCGCAGACCCACACCCACCCCTGTGCTGTTACCATCCCAGGCCACCTGCTTACGCCGTCCTCTTTTTCCAACTAAAGCTGCAATGCGCGCCTCCTCAAAGGCGGAAACTGCCGCTTGTGAGCGTGTCTTCCACCGTGAACGCTCGAGCGCAACGACACCCAAGGTTTTAGAATCCAGTCCGACTTTTTTTAGGTTTTCCTTCAGATTATCTTTAAATCTGCGAACTGGACCGCTTGCAAGGCGAACTCCAGAAGCCAGCTGTCCGAAAAGCACCTGTTTGGGAATTCTTGTGTCCGGCATGCGGATAACATGTCCCGCCCAACGAAACTGTGCCTGTAACAAAAACGCCGCGATACCCAAGATACCACACATTTCCAATACAGTCGTATTTGGCACCCTATCCTCCCATTTAACGTTAGCGATAACCCGTAGACATCTCATATGAAACTGATCGAGTCTACGTATATGGCGCCTATAAGTAATCCATGTCTCACATCCATACAACATTGTGGTTAACACAACTGCCCCCAAACACGCATACATATACACGCACACACACACACACACACACACACACATATATATATATATATATATATACATATGTCATATTGTTATCTATCCTGAAATAGAAGCATGATATCTCAGCTAACTCCATATCAACATTTTTTTACACCATCACCGCCATCTTGTTTCTATTTGACAAAAAAGAAAAAGCAGGAAGATTATTCAGTGGATTGTGACATAATATTTATAAAATTCTGCCCTCGCTTATTCACAAATAATAACAATGATAATTTCATTTGTATAGCGCTGTTAATATTAAATCGAATATTCATATAGCGTTATATAAATGAAGTTTAGTGTAATTAATTTTGTGAAAGACTAATCTTAAGTATTATTGTTACAATTTTCAATTAGTTTTTCCTTCAATGTCCCTATCATTTTGGCAAACTTGCAAACTTTCAATGTTTATTCTATCCATATAGAAGCATTAGAAAGAGGAGTTAGGCCTAAGCTATTTTAAATTAATGCATTATTATTGTTCTTTGATGAGAGATTTATTAGTAAATATTTTATATAAAATTTTGTCAAAAGCTATTTAATTATTTTGCTTTATTTATGCTGCTTTTTGGATTTCAATGAATATAGATTTTATTTTAAAACAATAAAAATGGCTCCAAAATTAGGGGTCCTATCATATACGAATAGCTGATTGGATTAATAATTTATTAAATAAATATGATAAACTCTAACTAAGTATATAGATAAAATTAATCATAAAAAATATATCTTTGGAATATAAGAAAACTACAGCCTTATACTTGAACATGAAGAACATTGAACAACTATATTAATTTGTAGGGAAATATTGTAAAGTTATCTCTCGTAAAAACGTTACATAACTTACGGGTATCTTTACGTGCAATGATTAAGTGGGAGGTGTATCGTTAAGTTTTTATGGAAAGAAATTAACTAAAATATATGGATTTGTTTGAAATGTGTTTGTCTTACAACATTTTCTGTCGCTATTTTGGCCAGTTTCGATTCGGTTACATCGTGTTATGATATCAATCAATGATTGCTTACAACAGCACATTCAAAAAATTAACTTTTTTATTATTTTAAAATTAAAATTTTTAATCTTCTTAACTAAACAACGACCAACAACACTTCATTTTTACGATCAAACGCTTTGTTTTGTTGTTTTCATCGCTAGTAAAAATATTCTATACCGCTTAGTTTTATAAGTTTAAACTAATAAATGCACCCTTCTTCGTGTTTACTTTCTTTGCATCTCTGTTTACTTTTATATAAACATGGCGTCGATCGAATTTGTTTTGAATTTATTGAATTTTCTATTTTAATTTAGCAAAGTCTACTAAAAGTGAATAACTAAAGATGGTTTGTGATAAATGTAAGTTTCAAACATTTAAATTAAATTTCAGTATTTAATCATTTTTTAAAATTTGATCCGGATTTCGATTAGGATTACATTACATTAAGATTACCCATTATATTATATTACAATTAAATTAAACAATGTACACTGCGCATACACTAAAAATGCACCAAATAATGAATTTGGCTTAATAGTCCATTAGTTGATTAGCTATTCAGCGAAAAATTTGTTTTTTTCAAATTATGACTTTGAAATTTGATAGAAAACTACCAAATTTTTTAATTAAACTGATTTCTAAATCAAACAACTCAACTCTGAAATAAATTATTGAATTGATTTAATTGAAATGAATACAAAAAAATAAAATTTTAATTTAAAAAAAGGTGAGAAAAAACTTGGCAAAGTTGTCACTCCTGACCCGTGGAAGAAAGGTGCCAGAAATACAACAGGTTATTTTTATTATTATTATTATTATAGTTATTTTATTTTTATTATTTGTTATGTTGTCAATATTACTATTTCTGTTATAGCTATTACCTGACTGGAATTTAATATTACAATTATTTATGTATATAATAATATATATCTAATGAATCATTCTAATGTAAGATGTATAGGATAAAATGTACATCCTACCTCGGGGAACTGGGTCTCTGGATGCTAAACGAAGATTGATTGTAGGATAAAATGTATCTGTATATGTATCTATTGCAGTATATCTATGTAAGATGTGTAGAATATTTATTATGTATCTAGTATGTATTTATGTCCCTATGCTTATTTATCATTGTTGTTTCTTCATTTCAGACGATGGTGGTCGACAGCTGAATGAGAATAAAGCCTTAACGAGCAAGAAAAGCAGGTCTGAAAATGATAAATTTATATAAGAACTTTAAAAAAAATTGATTTTTTATAAAAAAAATTAATGTTTTTGCTTTATAATTATACTTTGTTATGTTGTAAAATATAAATTTTATTATGTATTATTAACCAAACGTACCATTTTTTGCACAAAAAATTTAGATTCAACCCGTATCAGAAATCTTTCGAGAAATGTCGGATATGCAAAAGTACAGTACACCAACCTGGAAACCATTATTGCCAGGGTTGTGCCTACAAAAAAGGTAATCATCATCCTCATCTTGTCAATACATATTGCTTCGTTTATGCTACTTGTGTTAATACTATGTTACTGGTGTTACTGTACTTATGTGTTTAGTTAACTATATGTTTTAAATAGTTAAGTTGTCTGACACTGATGTTGTAGAGACTGGGTTTGAATGCTAAGATATCCCTACTTATTATATTTGATGTGTATGTGATGTTTATACCTCTTAAATGGAGAATTTTTTAAATTAACTTTTTAACTAAAGATTATAAACTTAAAAATCAATTATTTCAAAACTTTAATTTAAATTAAATGGAATTTAATAATTTTTTTGCAGGAATTTGTGCAATGTGTGGAGTGAAAGTTTTGGAGACTAAAGGATATAGGCAAACCTCTGTTTGAATGATGAAAAATAATTATTAATGTAATTATACCTTGTACATATTTTGACAGTGAAGTATAATATTAGAAGTGTATATGTATTTCAAAGACTCTACGTTGAGTTGTGTCTGGACTGTTTTTTCTCCTGAATAATTTTCAAATGTTTTTCAAGTGATTTAATAAAGAATATGATTTATACGTTTTTTTGTGTTCTTTAAAATGAAAAATTGATTGAGTGCGTGATTTTTATTAGTTGTTCAAACTGAATAATAATGAAGCCAAAAAATTCAGGCTCGTTTGATAGATGCACCTAGTACCATATGTCACTTTCACACATACATACTTTCCTTGTAATTTGGATTCTTTTCGGTTACTATCTTTATCCTAATGTACTCATGTTGTATTAAGTTGAATTTAATTGTGTTGTATTATGCTCTATCCCACAATTATTATCTTCGAACCTACAGGTGATTATGTGCTAAACGGAAATTAATTATGAAATGTTTGTAAATCACCATTTCTAAGATTGACCACTGATATAATAACTGCACTTGAAGAGCTTTTCAAACGTCATCAATTGATCAACAGCTGTTGAAAGCAAACAATAACTTGTGAATATAGTCTTTGCTAAAAATAACTTGTCGACGTCACAGATTTTGTTGAAAATAAAAATGGCAGTGAATGTTCGTTTCACAAACACAAAATTTAATTTTAAAAAATTGTAATCGTTGCTTCAACTAAAATGCAAGATGTGTAGGAATGATTCTGGTTTGGGATATTTTTTTGGAACTGTCAATTTCAAAAGAACTTTGTTTGGCACCGCTGTGTTTGGCTGGAGTCAACTCGATTCTGTACTATCGCGGTGTCTAGTCTACTTTCAAATCAGGTAGACATCTGAGACTAATTTAACTACACTAGCGATCTAGCTGCGGTTAACTAAAGAAGAGTCACATACAAGCACATAACACAAATGCGCTAAAATGTGCATCTTATGACTCAATACATTCGACAATATGGAACGCACCTTATACACATCTAAAAATAATCCGTTCGCACTGATATATATATCACATTAACGCAATACAAACATTGTATTATATCACATACAAGTATCCAAACATGCATACAGCTATCACACACAAGTTTTCAAACATACATACAAATATGATTTACAGATATACAAACATACCATACATAGAAACACTATCTGCCTGGTCACAATGTTTTTAGATAGAAAACAATGCGATACCATGCCTGCTTCAACTTTCATATGAGCACTTGAACAATTGATATTATCTTAGCTTATCTTAGCATAGTCAGTCAATTTCATATTGAATGAATCTTCGTCACACGCACATTCTATACTAAACCTGTATATGTGTACTACACACACAAACATAAGCACTACACACACGCACACGCACATAAGCACTACACATAAGCGCCACACACACACGTACATATGCAGTATAAGTATTACATACATTTAGTTAGAGAAAATTATAATAATGTTTATGCTATAAACGAGCAGTGTTTATTTTACACGCGTTGATCGGCACGACACTGCACTACTGTTCAGTTCTTCTGTTTAAACAAGGGGGTGTGAGTATGACTTATTTATTTGTTATTATTTATAAACTGGATGATTTATAGCAAGCATTTTATGCTTAATATCATACAAATGAGTAACTCTTCATTTATAACTGATTGCAAATTATAATTCTGTTTTGAAGTGAAATTAATATTTTCGCTTAATATAAAAGCCAAGACTAGGCTGCTAGAGTAGAGTAGAGAGATAGATTACAATAAAAGTTTCATGCCAGCAGAATTTTACTAGACAACTGCAACATTGATAATTATATTAGAAGAAAACCGTTACTATTGTTGCTGCTATATATGTCATTTTATAATAAAAATAATAATTATTGTTGTTATTATTATTATTATTGATATATTCACTCTTTTATTTATATATTTCATTATCTTGAGGCATTTTGGTTTTATTTTAAATTTCTCGACCAATAAAAAAGTTCCTATTATTTTTATTAATATTAATAATAGTTATTATTAAATATTATTATTATTAATTATTATTAATTATTATTATTATTAATTATTATTATTAATATTGTTATTTATTATTATTGTTGTTATTGATTATTATTATTTTTATTATAGTTGATGTTGTTGTTATTCATAGTAATTATTAATCCCAAACAGGACCTAACCCGGATGCTGTAGTTGCAAACGTTTAAATAGCAATTAGCAGTAGCAGGAAAGAAGCATTGTTAGTTAGTCAGTGGTCTGAAACAGTTAATTAGCTCGTTGGTTTTGCTAGCAAACTGATACTACTTTATAGTTTATCACTCACCTCTGCCTGTCTGCCTGCCAGTTGAGTCCCGTCCACAACAACGGATCATCTATTATTCTCTAAAGTTTAGGGTTTGGTTTAATTTTTTCTCAATCAAAGTAATAACGAGAATGGCTGATATTCAGAAACACGAGATTCACGAAGCTTATCTCGATGTGAGGAACGACAATTCGCCGACGACATGGTTCGTTCATTTTGTTCGTTTTTTTTTGTATTGATACTTGTGTTTGTTTGCTAACTGCGGCGTGACAAGAGCTGTGTTTGTAGTTTGTTCATCATATGCTCATATCCTTTTGTTTGCTAATGTAATGTAACAAGAGTCCTATTCGTTCGTTCTTTGTTCGTTTGTTTTTTCATTATTCTGTATTTCATAGTTCGTTACATCAAAATAAATTAGGTAAAGTTATAACTTAACTTTAGACCATTTAATTCTCTGCCAATCTCAACCTTGTTTGTAGTAATGTGAATATTTATTAAATTTAAACTTTGAAATAACTTGCACGTCATATACCAGGGCCCTCCTCTCGTACGATAACAATGCCATCATCCTGAACTCAACTGGCAGCGACTACGAAGAGTTTTTGTCCAACTTTAATGGTTAGCCTTAAGCGTGAAACGATCCCAGTTGAATGTTTAAATTTATTTATAAGGAAATAACCCCTTAATCATATTGTTAATACTAATAACACTCAAGTTTTATCTCTAAAGACAATTTTTCAAATAAAGAAATTGTTTATTTAAACGACTTTTTTATTTTAGTTTAGAAAAAAGATTTTTCATTGAATATTTTATTTAAATCTTCCGTGACTAGATCCTCCATTCATTCAAACAAGCGTCTGATTTCGTAAGACACAGAATAAAATTCGAATCAGAATTAAGATAAGATAAGAAGTTATCAACATCGCCATTTTTTGATACGAACTAGAACATGTCAAATCAACGGACACGCATTAAATTTTTTACTTATTCTAGTCAAATCAACAAAAACTTAGACAATCTCTTTTACTAATCCATATTTCCATGCAAACAGAGCAAGAACGTTTTTTCGGCTACGTGAGATTTTCCGCTGGCGACGAAATGAGCAAGAGAGTGAAATTTGTACTTATCACATGGATTGGTAGTGAAGTTGGTGCCCTGAAAAAGGCAAGAGTCAGTACGGATAAGGCATTTGTCAAATCCATCTGTAAGGTATGACAGTTCAAATCTTCATCTTTTTTTTTATCATAGATATTATGTCATTGAATGAACCAATTTAATTAGTTAAAGGTTAAAGGTTACTCTCTCTATTGCGTTAGCTTCAGAGGTTTCAACGACAAACACACACAGCGTATATGAATACGCGTGCAAACCACGCATCATACACATTGCATATGATAGGCGGGGATCTCTTTGTATTCGAACCCAGTCATTGCAATAGCAAGACCATGGGAGGAGATAGATAATTTTGAATGTATTTACACGTGCTTGTGGTTAACATCTTTGGAGAAAAAACTAAATAGAGAATCGTAAGAAATTGCAAAGTGATTCAAACACCACACGCGTGCAATCATTTGACGTAATGTATCAATACAAATGAAAGGATTTCTGCGTTCAAAACTTTATATCTTGATTGTATTTGGATTTTTTTTTATCAAGTTAGTTATATATGCGTAGGTATATGTGCCTGAAAGACCAACAAATGGATTTATAAAAAAAATGAATATAAAATATTGAGGTCTGTTTCATATTTTCGCGATCATACATATCAGGTTACACGCGATATCATAATGAAATGAAGATCTTTAGCGTTAAAATAATTCATTTTAAACAAAGTATAATTCATAAGTTAAAATTTTTTCATTTGCCATCATGTTCTTTAGATATTAAAGTATAACTTAAACAAAAATTGATATATTATTTCTCACTCTCTCCCTCTCTATCCGTCCGTCCATCCATCCATCTATCCATCCATCCATCCATCCATCCATCTATCCACTCATCTATCCATTCATCTATCTATCTAATCCATCCATCCATCCATCCATCCATCCATCTAAATATATCTTTGTAATATATCTTAGAATAGGACAGATATATAGCATGAATCTAACTAAACCTTTCAGAGTTACGCCATCGAGATTCAGACGAGCGAGCGTTCGGAACTGGAGCTGGATCACATTAAGAAGGCCCTAGACAAAGTGGGCGGAGCTAACTACGGAGTCGGGGTCAGAGATGATAATTAATAATAATAATAATAAAAATAATTAATAAATCTAATTTACTACTAGTTTTAAAAATTCTAATTGGTTTCGTTCTCACTACTATGAAAATGTCTTTAGGGTAATGTTGTTAAGTATTTATTCTATGAATTACCTTGATTGTGTTTTGCTTTAAGTAATTTAAATGAATTCAGTAGACAATACACGATGGTTTTTTTTTTACAAATATATACACATTTGTGGCTTTTGTTACAATAAATTATTGTAAAGATGACTGAGTTACTTTAAATAAATCAAACGTTCAGAACTAACTGCACGCAGCGTCAATATTTTTTTGATGATAAACTCAATTTTCTTGGTTGCGCGTAAGTGAAAAAATTATATACAATCAATTCTTTTATTATATAAATTTTTTTTTCATAATGTGCCTGTATTATAACGCAAGATTTTGAACAGAACACTATTCAAAAATGTCCACTGGTTCGTATGGAATACTCTCTTAAGTTTTTATTGGTTCTTTCTTCATCTCCCGTCTGCGTGGAAGTTGGCCAGGAATCTAGTGAGAGACTACATACTTCATCCTCTGTAACAGCGTCACATTCCCAAAAAATCGAGTTACAAAGTTTATTCAGTATTACACAAGCATAACCATTCCGTCGACTCATATTACTATATATTTCCATTACCAATTTACATATTTTCATGCCCAGGAGGTAATGATACTACATACATGAATCAGTACCAGCCAAAGTTACTGTATCAATGTCACCAAGAATCGAACTATAGGTATATATATATATATATAGGCCTTTTTGGTTGATTCAAGATGCTATGTATCATTTCCATTATTAAATTAAACATTCTCTTGCTTCGAAAATTGAGTATTACACAAACCTGGTTATAAACTACCAGCCTAATCTGCTATATCAGCGCCACAAAAATCGAACTATAGTAGCGTATAATGATAAATATTCGGTCGATTCGAGATACTATTTACTATGTATCAAAAACGTCGGGATTTCCATTACCAAATTATACATTTTCGGTCCCCTCCCAGATCCGGCACTGAGTACTTAAAAAAATCCGAATACTAATTTATAATTGAAAAATTATAGTTTTGTAAAAAGAATTTTTATGCAATATTATTATGTGGCTCTAAGAAAAGATTATTCAATAGGTTAGAAAATTAATTTCCGAATATCCGAACATTACGTGAAAAGATTTGGTATAAGTTAGGCAATCATCCAAGTAAAAAAACGATGAATATTACAAATAAGTGACTAAAAATTGTCATAGATAATGACTACGTAAGAAATATTAATAAATAAAAAGATAAATGAATAAAAATTTTCCTTGAATGTTCAACAGATATCTGCTCTTGGTTCTTGATGGCGGGTCAGTGGCTGGTTTACTGAGATTTTAAGAACATTAGACAAAATTAATTTAGTGATCGATGACATAAAAAGTATGAAATGGTGAAAGTTATTTATTGATGGTTACACATACAAACACACATGCAAACACACATGCAAACGCAAACACACACCACACATACACACACACGCACACAAGCAAAACACACACACACAAAACATACTTCCATCAAATATTGGAATTCCTTGTTTTTTGAGCAGAAGGAAAATGATTGCAGCCGATATAGGCTTCAGGATTAAGTTGAAGGAAGCCGCACTATTATTATTTTTATTATTATTGTTATTATTATTATTATTATTAATATTGATATCATTTATACTATTCCTACTTCTTCTACTCAGAGGTACTTTATTTGGTTAATATAATAATCAAATCAACGAAATTTTGAAATAAATTCTTTAAAAAAAAACCTACTAACATTATACCTAAGATGTAAATGCCCCCGACGCCAGTGTACGTAGCTGTCAAGTTATGATGATGATGATGATGATGATGACGACGGTGATGATGGTGATCGTGATGATAATGATAATGATTTGGATGATAATGATAATGATTTGGATGATGATGATGATGATTACGATGATGGCGATAACTTTTAGGTCAAACTAATTTTATAAAATTGATTACTGTCCAATTATTTGGTTTAATAATTATCGTTTAAATGCCAATGTAATTATTTATTATTATTATTATAATTATAAAATATGCCCAACCGCTGAAAACAGTTCCAAAGATGACAGCATCCGGAATGAAACTGACCAACAGCAAGCAGAAGAACTGGAAATGAAAAACAGGACGGTGAAAAAAAAATTGTGAAATTGTAAACGATACAGAGAAAGGCAGAGTGAGACGGAGACACAGACAGAGACAAACAGACAAAGACAGATAGACAGAGACGAAAAAACAAAAAGTCACACTCACGCCTACACACACACACAAACACACACACACACGCACACAAACATACACGCCCCAACGACAGTAGTCGTAATACAGTAAAAGTAGTTGCTGTACTAGCGTTAGTAGACCCTTCAATAAAATTAGTGGTAGTAGTCACTACAAAAAAACCACCTTCATTTTCTCAAAAACTCCATTATAATATACTTGCAGGGACAAAATAATAAGAAAAAAAAATTATTCCAGCCAGCATTTTTCCAAATTAAATAACTCGCATTCCATACGTGTGGAAGTGATTAATACAATCTATGTCATCATTATAATACACACACGCGCGCACGCACACACACACGCGCGCGCACACACACCCCCCTCTCTCTCACTCTCACAAACTCAACAATTTTTTTAGACAATTGTATTTGAGATCTTTATTTAAACTGATTGATTGGTTGGTTAATTGGTCGTTGTAATGATTGAAAGGATGAACGAATGAATGAACGAATGAAAAAATAAATGAACTAATGAGCGAGTGAGTGAATGAGTGATTAAGAGTAAATAAATGAATAATAGGTCAAGTGACTGATAGGTTAATTCAACAGATGAGCGATTTGATAATTGGTTGATTGATAATTGATTAAATGGTTGATTGATTGATTGATTGATTGATTAATATTTTAATTAAACGATTGATTGATTGGTACTTTGGCTGGTTAATAAGTTGAGTTTTTAGTAATTGAATTAAATGATTGAGTTAGCAAGTTCATTGGATGATTTTTTTGGTTCATAATTATAAATAAGCTAGCAAGCACCTTTATGAATGTATGTAAATTAGTTTATTTATTTAGTTATTCGTTCATTCTTTCATTCATTCATTCATTCATACATTCATTCATTCAATGCACTAACCAACTTCTGGGCTATGTAATGATTTTCATTTAGACAGCTCCACAGTCCTGGCAAGAGAACGAACGAATTCAACATTATGTAACTTCCATTTATTAGAGAATGTAGGGACCCACTGTATGTCAATCATTGGAATGAATGAATGAATGAACGAATAAATGAACGGATGAATGAATGGATGAATGGATGAATGATTGATTTGATGGCTGATCGATCGGTCAGCTGATTGGTTAAATGAATAATTGATTGTTTTATAGGTTGTGAGTAAATAAAATTAACAAATCACAAACAATAAAAAACAAAACACCAAACCAGTAAATGATAATTAAATGAAATTGCAAATTGGAAAAACTCACATTGAAGTAAAGAACCAGTGCACACAGAACAAGGTCTGTCATATGAATTTTATTTTAAATTAAATTTTGTGCAAAATAATTTATATCACCTTTTAAAAAAATTAAAACGCGCTATACAATTACTCTAATAATTGCAATAATATTGATAAGCATAGTAATAATGAAATACAAAAGAGTGACAAACGATAACATTTAGAAGCAAAGAAGTGGATTAAACTACATACAGACAAAGAAAAAAACACTTCCATGTATTTTTTAATTGTATAACTAAACTAAACAATGATAAGCCAAAAACAAATCGAAACGGAATGTTATTTAGTGACAATAATTTCATGGAAACTAAATGTTACAGACTGGATTTTTATAAAGTAACAATAAATGTTACCAAAGTAATATCTTTAATAATCTATCGAGTCTGATCAACCAAACAAACAACATCAGCAACAGAGTTAACCATACCAACAAACATTATAAACAAAAACATTAGAACAAAACAACAAAACAAAAAAAACATCCAAACAAAAAAAAACAAAAAGAGAAAAACTACCATCTTTGCTACATAATATCCTATCATATATCACGTTTAGTTAATATGCGATCTCACAAATGTAGAAGTCAGATATAACTATATCCATCCATCCATCCATTCATCCATCCATCCACTCATTCATCCGGCAATTAGTAAAAAAACTTACACAACCAAAAAATATTTACGCGAAAATCATCATACAAAACATATCATACAAAAGTGGAGCATACACATAAAAAGCATACAAATCTGTGTAAAATATTACATACAAAAAAAACATACAATCATGGATACATTGCAAACATGCATACAAACAAACAGAAACATTAGCGAACATTACCAGTACACATACAATTGTACTTATACATGTTTTTTAGACATACTACAAAAGATACACACATATCTGTTTGCATCTTTTCTCATATCTCCTACATACATTTTTCTTTCTTTCTCTCTTTCAACTCTCATCTTCTCTCTTCTCTCTCTCTCTCTTCTCTCTCTTTCTCTCTCTCAATATTATACTGTGAACACATTCGGGATAATTTACTCAGTTCATTCAGTGTATTTAAATCATTATTCATTTTTATTTTCTCATTTTATAAATTCAAACATCTATAAAGAATTTTTATTTATATACTATGATAAATATGGCGCTATATAAAGAATAAGTATTGTTATTATTATTAATTTTGTTATAGAAGTAATAGTAATAGTAGTAGTAGTAGTAGTGATAAGTAGTAGTGTAAGTATTAGTGTTACTATTATTACATTATGAATAAATATTTAAAAACATATTTTCACTGTTAAGTCAATGCTTCACCTTTATTATTAGATCTGGATTGTCGCCAAAAGCCATAACTTATCGAAAATAAATGAACAACAAAATATTTTTAAAATTTAGTAAAAAAACAAATAGCGAATAATCAATAATTTTATTTGTTATCAAATAAATAAGCAGCGAATTTTAATATATTATTGATTAAATAATTAAATAAATAAACGTTAATTAACGTATTAACGTATTAAATTTAATTATTATTTTAATCTAAAGTTTGTTTAGCGAGTGAATCAGTAACTGAAGACAGGAGCAGAATCCAAATATGCTAGTTTAGTTTTCTTTCTAATAATGTTTATAATATATGAGTCTTTTTTCACTCGATATAAGAGGCAAGCCAACGAATAAATAACCAATCGTTTAATGGGTATGATATATATATATATATATATATATATATATATATATATATATATATATATATATGATTATATATGTTTGTTTGTATGTGTGTTTGTGTGTGTATGTATGTGTGTGTGTGTGTGTGTGTTGTGAGTGTGTATGTGTGTGTTAGTGTGTAATAATAACATATTAACACATGACACGTAAAACGCGGCCTATGATGATTGGTAAATTTTGTTAATTAGTTAGTGGGGTATATGTACAATGATACGTTGACAAATACACATACACAGACATAGATACAAACAAACACACACATTCATGCAAATACATAAGCACAAACATTGAAGTGAATTCGATAGAAACTAAGATAGATAGTTGTATATATATTTTAATATTTTACGTGATATTATTGTTATTAAATTATTCCAGTTGCGATTATTTTGAGTTATTAATTATGTTACTATTAACTCTGAAAAGGATGATTTTTCTATAGCGGTTAGTAAGCTTTGATTAGAGAAAAACTTAGTAAATATCGGTTTGTTTGGTTCAGCTCTAGATCTCGTTATTACGATCTAGTTAGAAGGAGAGAGAAAGAATGAAAGAGGAAAAAAGAGAGAGAAAGAGAGAATGTGTGTGTGTTTTGGTGTTAAATAATGTATCGGTAAAATCCTGTTTAGTTCCGTTTCTAAGCTTTCAATAATTACGATATAATTAATCATCATGCTATTATTTTTCACGTCAGAAGCAATTAAAACTTGAAAAAAATGTAGCATCTATCAAACAAAACAGCTTGCAACATTATCAACAATCACTTCGAAAGTAGAAACTCATACATTCTTTTTTCAGTTCTCTATACATTTTTAATTATTCACTACCTATATTGTTTTTTTTTCAAAATGACGTCACCCCGTCCAAGAATTTCATAACGAACTCAGATTCTAACAATAACTCTAATAATTATTAATCTTTGTTTAATAAAATAATAATTAATTTTTTAATTGTAAAACAGAACTTTTTATTGAGCTTGTAATCGTAAATTTGAAATAACTTGTATAATACGAAATGTTATTTAACTAATAATTTTTAATCATGTTTAATACATATAATTAGAATAAATATAACGGCCTTCGCTCATTTTTGATGGTCGAACAAGGATTTTACTTCCGGAGGGGAATTGGGGGGTGATTTTTTATCGCCCAAGTCTAAAATTACGATCGTTTATTTACTAATTTCGGAATATTGCTTTTATTTAAAATGTTTTGAAAGGTGATACTAGATGCTGTTTTAGGATAGATATTGCTGTATGACGGTTTTTGCATTTTAAATTAAAAAAATTTTTTGTGAACCACTTTTCTAACACTTGACTCGTTAACGATTAGCTGTAACCGGTAAGGGTAACGTAACAACATTAACGACGACTAATTAGTAATTAAATTACTAAACTCTAATAATTATGCTAAAACTAAACTACTAATTCTAATTACTAATTAAAATAAATAACAGATAACACAAACGAACATTAACAGATTAGACTACTAGAGACTACCGACCACTACACTACTACATACTACAACTACTACACTAACAGCACTTGTTCCTAAAATCCTGAATCCTATTGCTTGATTGGTTGTAAAATTTTTACTTACAATGCTTAGGCCTGGGAATAAAGAATATATTTTTTAAAATAACTAATATTCAATGATTTTTGCTAGTTATTCAATTATGTGGATGATTTCATATAATTAGAATAATTTGTCGTGCTTGGATTATTGGCTTACGAAATTGCATGGATTTTAACGAGCAAGCTATATGAAATATTTACTTGACTTAATATGCTTAAAACATTGTAGTAATTCTCTTTAATTTTATTAAATAAAATTATGATTTTATTAAATAAAATTATGTATTATTAAATTATTGTTGTTAATTTGAATATAAAAATTATACTTTTGGTCCTGTGAAATTCGGTGGTTTTTTACTGAAGCCGAAGGTTGGCTTAGTAGGATTGAACTAAAGTCACCCTTTTTTACACTATTCGATCATATTAAAAATTTGTTTGCTCATGAAATAAATGACCTAAATAGATCAAAATTGTTATTTGAACAACTATCTTCATTATATTCAATGAATATTTTACATTCTGCTGGTGCTCATAGAAATTATCGTTGCTGAAATCATACGTTGGCTTACTGCAGTGGCTTACTGGGTCTCATACAACAGTGTCATGGCGGTTTTCTTTACATATAATGTTTTAAATAAGTCAATATATTCATTTCACAATTATTTTTGTCAATATAAATAAAGAAATTGCTTTTGTCTGGTAAAATACAGTGGCCAAGTAAAGACGTATGTTGGCTTAATCGGATTTTTTTTCATATATAAAATACTATGAGATCAATCAATCAACCAATCAATCAACCAACCATTCATTCAATCAACTAATCAACCAACCAATCAATAAACCATATTTGAAAAATATTTGCAAGGCTTGTTCAAACTCGAACAAACACTTAACTGTACAGATCTACAAACAATTTCGAGATTTTAGTAAAGAAAGAAAAACACAATAGTTGCTTTTATTAAATCAAGAAATATCCAAAAATCATATAACCAAATTAAAAAAACTAGAAACCAGTCAACATTCAATAAATAATTAAATAAATAAATAGACATTATTAAAAAGATTGTTCAAAAAGGTAAATTTTAAGGCGACGACGAGAATAAAATGTAGTTTGTTTTGTTGGTGTAGGGCTGTGAAGCGAAAACAAACACATCACAAAAAACTAGTAAAAAGTCGCAAGTCACCTACCTACAATTAAATTACTCTCAGGGCCCTAGCTTACTTATAATCATTAACCCAACTCACCTACCTACAAATATGTTTTTCTACGTTTTTGGAATTTTACATGTTTTAGGTATTTTACATATTTCAGCGTTTTTATTTTACTTGAAACTTTTTAACTAATGTTAAGCCCTAGCCTACCTACGATTGTTCAACTCATCTCAATCCCTA